CCACCCCTCCCCCGCTGCTCCAGCCTCGAAATGGACGGTTTGTGTTTAGGCGACATCAGTGCGCGTCTAAGTGCCGTGCTTTCGCTCTCTTTCTCTCTTTTCTTTCTCTCCGCCGTCTCACTCTCTCGATCGCTGTCGCTCGCTCTCTCGCGCCCCCCAGTTACCCTGTCTCGCTGCTATTCTGTTTGGCTATTCAAATGGAAGGGGCGAGTCAAGTGGACCGGGGGGAAGAGGATGTGGGGTTAGTAGAAAAGAAAAGAGGACTGGTTAGGAACAGTGATAGCAGCTGCAGCTGCCGGCGCGGCTGCTCGCTGCTGAGCGAGCGTCACTCGCGGCAATCCGTGCTGCTGCTCGCGACATTGGGCGGGGGGGGGTGCAGGAAAATGGGGGCGTCGAGCAGAGTGAGTAAAGGGTTTCCTTGAAGTTGAATAACGAGAAGGGAGGGAAAAAACACTTCTCATCACCCAAAATTTTCCCTGCTTCAGTTTGGTTTTTGTTGTCTGAAGGCTGCGAGGCGTGAGGAGCAAGGGGGGCCGTGGCGGAGGGTATTGAAAGTTATTGCGTCCCCTTCAGCGGGCCCCTCCCGCTCCCCCTCATTGTGAGGCCGTTGCGGGTAATGGATGATTTGAGTCGGGCTTCAATGGGCCGTGGAATTTGTTGAGTTGGTTGCTGCTGCTCTCATCGGCAGAGGAAGATTGAAGCGACGCCATGCGCGCGCGCGCGCGCGCGCGCCGCGCTATGTTTGCGCCACGGCACAGATCGCTCAAAGTAAATGACTCATGATATTTGCTTGAGTGGGCTTCGGTTGTTGAGTGAGAGCAAGTTGGAGAGAGAGAGAAAGAGAGGGAGAGAGAGAGATCCTTCGGGGGTCTTCAGCTGCCTTTCCGTCCTTGTCCCACTTCCCCGACGACCCCCAAACCTAACCCCGTTCGCCCCGCCCTCTTTGGATTTCAGTCACGTGACGGCGAGTGACGGCAGCAACTTGATGATGAAGCCATTGAATGCAGGAGGCCAAGTCGACCCAACAGGAACATCAATCTTTGAGAAACAAGCGCCGCCACTGCCGTCTCTGGCCTACCTTTTCTGCCCCCCCCCTCTCTCTCTCTCCCTCTGTCTCTATCTCTCTGTTATTCCCATTCGCCTTTCCCCTTTTCTGTTTGCGATATCGAGATGAGCCTCCTTGAAACACCCAACGCGGTGATCGATATAAGGGTTAACTTTGGTCCTGCTCGAGGGCTCTGGAGCAATCTGGAGCACTTCAGACCGATTCCAGGCGGCCTGGAGTTGGCCAGGAGGCGGCCTGGACGTGGCCTGGACCGGGAGGTGGCCTGGTGGTATAGCCTGTACCTGGAGGTGGCCTGGTGGTATAGTCTGTACCTGGAGGTGTCTGTACCGTATGTAAAGGCAATACACCGCAGTGCTGCGGGTTTGTCTACCCCACTGCTCCTAAGGCGCCATAGCTCTTTAAAAGGACTAGAGAGTCCCGCTACAAATGTAGACCCGCTCGAGCAGGTAATTTTTTACCTAGGTACAAAGTTGGTATCTTAATCTAGCACACCCCTTGGGCACTGCAAACCTGCAACACTGGGGAGTACTAGCCTTTACACTCGGTATGCCACCACTACCAACAGCGGCGGCGGGGGTACTAGCCCGCCTGCGGTCCACAGGGTAGGCCGTCCCGTGCGGCTCGGCAGCGCTGCGGGTCGGCCTATACTGCCGGGCGCTCGCTCGCTCGCTCGCTCGGCGACCAAGAGGCAGAGCAGGGGATGATGCACTCGGGGGGGGGGGGGGGGGGAGGTAAAGTTTGCAAGACGGAAAGAAAGCTCGGCAAAGGCACACCACGCATGCGTCCTGCTTTCCCGCTCCCCCCCCCCTACTCCACTTGTTTTTCTCTTTTGCTGATTTTACCGTGGCTTGGCTCTCGCCGCTCTACGCCCGGCCCTCTCCTTCCTCCTCCCCCCGTACCTTCGCTTCCACGCGCGCGCGCACACACACACACACACACAAGTCTAACTCTTCTGATCGGACATGCGTGCTCGTCTCGGTCCTGGCAACTCGAGCTGATCTCGCCCCTTTCCTCCCCATTCCACCGTTCTAACCCACTTTCGTCTCTCCCCGCCGCTCTCGTGCCCCTGATGAGACTGCTGCTCGGTTAGTCTATTCGCATTCACCGTCCGCCCTCCCTCCCCTCTCTCTCTTTCCTTATCCTCCCACTAGTACCAAACCGCTATTTTCCTTCGATCTTTTTTTTTTCGTTAATTTTTGTTTAATTGAACAAATACTATTTTCGATAACTTTGACCTTTTGTCACAATTTCTTTCCTTTAATGTTCAACCTAATAAACCGTATAAATATTTGATTTTGTGATTTGCTGACGCTGGTGCATTCCGCCATGACCACGCCAACCTCGGTCCCGGAGCGGACTATGCAGCAGCGCTCTACATGTGGCGGCGCATAGCGCGGCGTG